ATACCCGTTGGTTTCATATCGATTGGTAGCTCGGCTGCAAAATGGCAATGGAAAACTCACACTGTTGTACAAAGTACAACGCGCGAGTACTCGTGTTATAAAAGTTGGCGCGAGTAACGGAGGGCTAAAGGGGGGTTTCGTGAGAATTGGTCTTTTGGTGGCTTCATACCTGAAAATGTATATCTATATAAATATTAATAAAATTTATATTTATTCTTATCTTATTTTGTAGTTCAATTCATTTATTCATCATTTCAGTAAAAACAGTAGTTCATCAGTAAAGTGATTCAGTAAAAACAAAGAGAATTGCAAATTTGATCATAAATCAATCCTTATTGACTATTTTATCAACAATATTTCCCCTGATTTCACGAAGTAAAAACTGCCGTTCCAACGGAAATTGGTTTTCCTCAGCCCATGTGATAGTGTCAATACTGTTCAGCGCTGATTGATCTGGAACTGGTTCGTACTCCTCATCTTGGTTGTCATCTGCTGTAGAAATGTTTGCAGTTTCATCCAGAGTGGTGTTCGTCACGCTTTCTCCTTCACCAAAATGTGAATCATGTTTAAGAACAGCATTGACTATGTCAGCATCAGACATGACATCGAATTCCGCATTCTCGTCTTCATTTTCGCCTGTAGCCGCTTTATCAGCAACCATCAGTTGAATCGTTACACTATCATCCCCAGAGCACCGGAACTAATATTTGCAATGTTAACATTTCAAAAATATTAATGGAAAATGGTCGAAATTGATCGAGTGCGTCAAGTTAGGAACCGCTTCAAATATGGTGCCTTCACGGAAGCCAAGCTCAACTTTGTCTCTACACACTCGTGAGAGTCGCGAAGCTACGATTTTTCTCAAGTTGAGGAGTCCCACACGCAGAAAAAAAATATTTTAAAAGTAATAATATTTGACGTAAAATCAATTAGAATTACATTTTGTTTTGGCTGCAAACAGAAATCATTATTGTTTCAACAATCCAGTATTTTTGTTTCTAAAAACCCATGGATTATTAAATCAAAAAGAAAATCTTTTAGAATTTATAAGAGCTTTCATGGTTTTGACGTAAGCTGTCAAATTTGGCAGCTGGGTCAACAACTAAAATATGTTTGTTTGTAAAAGAGATTTCTTGTTGATTCAATCATATTTATTTTTTAAAGTCTGACAATTCACGCAGTAGAAATAAAAATATGTTTATTGATGAAAAAAATTATATGGCAATTTTTTTATGTTTTGTTTTCTTTTTGAAACAAAATTGCAGAAATTGTAATTGAATTTCTGCCCCCGGTTCATGAGTTGATGGGTCGATATGTAAGGTCCAGATGTGGGAGCTGCCTTCCTGGCGTCGGGAGCATTGGTACTCAGTACGGAAAACAAGATCGACGGAAAAAAATTAAGGAAAAAAAAAAACAGAAAAATTGATTATATTTATCAACTGCAGCTCAAATTGCAGCATACTTACTTACCTCAAGTCTCAAGATTTTCGAAAATCTTGCACTTATTTCCCGAAATTCACAATTGAAAACAATACTTACGTGGAACGCGGAAGTATTGTGATTGTTTACATTTTTGTCCGGGTGAAAACGAGGGAATGGTTGGTAGTTATTTTTGCTTTCATGGCCCAGAGAATGGACACAGCAAATAAATGCTAAATTAAAATTAACTATTCACGGACAGAAAATTGTTTGCAATGAACCAAAAAAAACTTTAATTGCATTTAAGCAAACAATTCCAGTTGAAATTATATTGCTTTTTGTTGTTTCAATAATACTTATTCATATAAATTCAAAATAGGATTCTTTTTGTTTTAATCAGCCACTTTTCAAATGAAACTATTGTAAAAATAACAATATTCTATTATTAAGCCAACAATAGTTATTTTTAATTTAGCATTTATTTGCTGTGTCCATTCTCTGGGCCATGAAAGCAAAAATAACTACCAACCATTCCCTCGTTTTCACCCGGACAAAAATGTAAACAATAATAATACTTCCGCGTTCCACGTAAGTATTGTTTTCAATTGTGAATTTCGGGAAATAAGTGCAAGATTTTCGAAAATCTTGAGACTTGAGGTAAGTAAGTATGCTGCAATTCGAGCTGCAGTTGATAAATATAATCAATTTTCTGTTTTTTTTTTTCCTTAATTTTTTTCCGTCGATCTTGTTTTCCGTACTGAGTACCAATGCTCTCGACGCCAGGAAGGCAGCTCCCACATCTGGACCTTACATATCGACCCATCAACTCATGAACCGGGGGCAGAAATTCAATTACAATTTCTGCAATTTTGTTTCAAAAAGAAAACAAAACATAAAAAAATTGCCATATTATTTTTTCATCAATAAACATATTTTTATTTCTACTGCGTGAATTGTCAGACTTTATAAAATAAATATGATTGAATCAACAAGAAATCTCTTTTACAAACAAACATATTTTAGTTGTTGACCCAGCTGCCAAATTTGACAGCTTACGTCAAAACCATGAAAGCTCTTATAAATTCTAAAAGATTTTCTTTTTGATTTAATAATCCATGGGTTTTTAGAAACAAAAATACTGGATTGTTGAAACAATAATGATTTCTGTTTGCAGCCAAAACAAAATGTAATTCTAATTGATTTTACGTCAAATATTATTACTTTTAAAATATTTTTTTTCTGCGTGTTGCTAGCTTAATAATAGAATATTGTTATTTTTACAATAGTTGCATTTGAAAAGTGGCTGATTAAAACAAAAATAATCCTATTTTGAATTTATATGAATAAGTATTATTGAAACAACAAAAAGCAATATAATTTCAACTGGAATTGTTTGCTTAAATACAATTAAAGTTTTTTTTGGTTCAATGCAAACAATTTTCTGTCCGTGCATGGCGTGGTTGGCTACACGTTCGCTTCTCAAGCCGATGGGCCATGGGTTCAATTCCATTGATCTGCTTATCGAATTTTGATGTATTTTAATGTGCCTCATGATAGGTTATTATCCAAGTCCGATTCTGGTCACTTTCCTGGGGCACCTGGAACTTGTCCGGAAGTGGCCAATATGGTCCAAGGTACTTAATTTTTTCCACCATTGATCTGGTTATCGAATTCTGATATAATCTGATGTGTTGCATGATAGGTTATTATTCAAGTCTGGTTCTGGCCACTTTTCCGGAGGCACCCGGAACTTGCCCGGAAGTGGCCAATATGGTGCAAGGTACTTAATTTTTGCCACCATTGATCTTGATATCAAATTTTGATTTAATTTTATGTGTCGCTTAATGGGTTTTGTTCCTTTCAAGTCAAATTCAGCCTCATGGCCCATAAACGCTGGAACTTGTTCCGGCCATATATATAAAACCAGTGGTCCGATTCCACAATCCTTCAATAGCGTTCAATGGGACCACTAAAAACATTAAATGAGACCACATAAGACCAAATAAAAATTTTTTTTTTGGTGGCTCGATTATCCGGAGTGAATTTTTTTTTTTAAGACTCCGGATAATCGAGTCCGCCCTGTAGTTGAATATGTGTGATGATGGAGCCTTTTTTACGCGAGTGTGAGGCGTTTTGGAATAGAATAGATACCGTGGTCGCGATCGAACATGCAGCATTGGCTAATTGAATTTTGTTGTATCAATTAATAAGCTTTGAAAATATGAAAAGGCTGGCACGGATCATGCGGGTGAGAACTTTCCTTTTTTATTTAATAAAGTTACCTCATAAGCTCTACCATACACACTAAATATGTTATCGAATTACAGTTTCACTTTCCCCTCCCGTGAGGTCTATGGGTATAGGTATGTCGTATGAGCTCCTTGCATCTTCTAACGTAGATGTTGGACTCATTTTCCTTCCTTTCACCTACAGAATCCATTCCACGAGAGGCTGCACAGTATACGCATCATTGGCCGTTATCGTTCGATACGGCGTGCAGGCTGATTGGCCATATTACCGGTCAGTACATTGCCCCTCGGGCCTCCCTCAGCTCAGTCGGTAAAGGCATAGCTATAAAGTAAGACCATGCTGAAGGCGGGTCGAACAATTTGTCGAATTCCCTGGAGTATGATTGTACTTCCCACAAAATAAGGGTAGATCCACTACCATAAAAGTAACTCTAGAACCAGAAGGTCCCGAAAAAACGTGATCAACTTTTTGGCTCAGCTCTGGGACTATCTTCGGTCCCAAGCTAATCGATGCACCCCTCGAAACATAGGAAAATCCACGAACCCCTCATTTTATCTATCAAACTTACATAGCGAATCAAAACAAACATAGCGTAGTACTAGAATTTCGACTATAATGGGGTACGCTTATAGATGTATTTAGGACCAATAGGCTAGCCGCTAAGTAGTGAGCTAATTTAAAATCGTTAGTTTCCACCGGTTGTCACTACTTCGTCGTAATCGCCGATTTCTGTTCTATCGAGCAGACAACATCAATAATAACAATACGTTTGTTTCGATGCGTTAGTTCATAAGTTAAAACACCAAACCCTATTAGAGCACATTGTATGAATATTTACACTCATCATTTTCAAAACAAAAGAAGCGCTCCTAGCGAATATACTTTTTGTACATTCATTCCTAGGGCGAAGAAAATCTAATGGCATTTGAATGCGTTGGGACGGAATTGAAACTCGTATAACAAATTTGGAATCAAGAAGCAGTGTTGGATTTTTAACAGTATCTCAACAATATGTAACTCTTTACCAAATCCTAAGGAATGGAAAGGTGATTAGATTTAGAAGTCATCTTGGATATAAACATACCAAAAAGTTAATAGTTTAGGGAATTTCCCTACTTGTTTGTTAAATTAATGTATAACACGTTAACTATTGTAGATAGAAAAAGTGATTTTTCAACCAAGTTTTTTCAAAAAAAAAAACTACAACTTTGTAAAATATTGCGCTTTTAAACACAAGCAAGTAAACGAAAATTATAATTTGGTATCTTTTTTTTAATGCAAACGTTATTTTAGCTTATCAATAATCTACAACTGCTTATATCTAAAATTACCTTAATTTTCGAATCTCTTTCCATTGCAACTATTTTGAGAATATAGGCTGCATTGGCACGGTTCCTGGCATCTTCTCGATCAAGTTTCGTTGTAGTCACAATTGTACCCAGATTTTCATCTATTTTGAAAGGAATGCTCATGTTTGTCGATATTGAATAACGAACACGGTTATTGACGCCTCGGTCACCATCTATAGCCTTGACTGGTAAATGAAAATCAAGTTATTCCGTGATGACATTCTAAACTGCTATAAAAAATAGCTTAACCGCATACAAACCTTGAGTAACGATGGTTCCAGCTGGTGCATCTTCTGAAACCCGGAGAACTGACGATGCTACGATGAATTCGGGCGGTTGATCTTCCACATCTTTAACTTGGACGAGTAAGGCAGCTGTACCTGTGTTGGTTCTTCCCTAAAATGAAGGAAAGGGTGATTCAGTCCTTTTAATGGTATTTCAGTCAAATTCTTCTAAAATAAATAAAATCGGACAGTATTTCACGAAGTTACGACACTTCAAAATTGATCAAAATTGTTCCTATCGTAATTATTATGTCTATCCCCTGTAGAGTAAGGTGGCACAAAAGTTCGACCTTAGCTAAAAAATTCAAATAACTCTCAAAATTCTTAGCATTTGGAATCCGGTTAAATTCATGAAATACATTAATGATGAGTTCGTCTTATTTCTGTCAGGCACGCAAATCCCTAAATTCATCTACAATTCCAAATTTGTAGATATAATACGTGATGCTTCAGAGTTTCTGAGCTTTCTTTTCACTGTTCTTTTCAGCTTCCTGTGACGTCAAGTCCATGTCGACCACCTCTTCCTCTCAAGTAGCAGAAATAGGGATACCTTCTATCTTAGCTGTAATTTGATATGTAGCCGAAAAAACATACGTTGAACTTTAAACAAAAAGCTGTTAGAAGAAATTCATTTGAAATTTATTAAATTGAAAACAATTTTAGCAGCAAAACGCGCAAGAAAAGAATTTTTTAGAAACAGCTGGTATAGAACGCTACCCAATTTAACGATTTTATTGATGCAAGATTTTAGGTACATCCTTCGTATTTCGGCCCGAAAGCTCTATTGTTCATTAGAAGAATTGCAGTTATTTTCAACATTACTTTTTGTTACTCTAAATTGGTATAATGCGCTCCCTGAATTGTGGGGTGGAAAGCATAACCATCAGGCGTATACCTTTGAAATTCTGTAGAGATAAAACATAGATACAGCCTAAATGTATGCTTCTGAGTCATGAAATCAGTAAGCGCATTTTGCCTCGCAGTATTTCGAAAATAGATTTTTGTTGGTCTGGTTCATGCAATACTACCACAACTCAAAATGTCCTTTACTTCCCGTTTTAAGGAAAGCATATAAAATCCAAATAATAAAACTTTATAACACCACGGTCTTCATACCGTGCATTTCTCTAGCGGTGGATTGACAAAACATTGGAATTCAGGCATTAGATCTGCACTAGAAATACTAGAAGGAGAGATGGGCGGAGAGAATGTTTTGAGCCAAATCAACTGTCAAAATCTGAGCCAAACGACCATTCCCATTAAAAAATTTCCGAGGATTTCTTATTCTTACTAGATTAAATTTGAGAGTATTGCAAGCGAACAGAAATTCAATCACCTTTATGTTTAATGTGCTTCTCAAATTCAACTATAGTTTTGGAATCAAAAGCAATATTCTAAAATATTGAGATGCAATCAATTATTAATTTGCACGTAAATCGAATCAAAAGTAAAACTCATGTGAAATGCTATGTTTTAGCAAGGGTTGCAAGATAATTTAGACACAAATCCCTGCTGCCGAATTGTATTTTGTTTTCTCCGCCCTTCTGAGTATTTCTAATCTGCACTAGAAATCAAAAACAAATGAAGTTTTCAAGACTGTATTGGATCAACCTGACGATATGTTCCTTCACTGCCATGCCATTCGCTTAATGAAAAATTAGTCCATCTCTGTTGTTACTTAATGCAAGACTCCTTCGAGTTAAATTTAATTAACAGGGCTTTCTCTTCCAAACTCCTGTAACTTGCTTCCATCTCAGTAGCATTCGCGTCCAGTGTTCTTGATCTCAATTTCAATTCCAGGCATCATCAAATTTTATTTGTTTCACCGACAGACCGAGCTGTGGGCAATGAAGAACTTGAGCCAATAGCCTCTACCGGCTATATGAATGCGTGATCCACACCGAGAAAATAACTGCTGCTACCTGTTGCTTTCGCAGCATTTGAAAAGACACTCCATCTTTGAAGTCTTATCACATACTTTAACTAAATATCCCCAATATTCGATAACTTTCCTTACTATCCGGCATTTTAAAGCAGGATCAATTTTACTCCTAAGGTCGAACTTTTGCCAAACCTTACTCTATGTGAAAGTTTAGATGAATTAGGGGCTAGGCTCGAACTTTTGCACAACTATAGCCTATCCAACCTTTATGCTGACATATCAGAAATCAAATATGCCTCTAACCTTCATTGACATGCTTTGAAATAAATTCATCCATCCACTACTGATTTCCTCAAGATTTATGCTAAAACAAATTAGTGCAGACGTTATAATATTGCGCTTCAAGCAATGGATTAATGTATGCTGCCAGTTTTAATCTCACAATTACTAGGCCAGTTTTATGTTATTCAAGAAAAGTTCTAATTTAGTAAATATAATTTTCTGCGTATAAAATAACGTACCGTAACTTTTTTTACAAGTGACTTCTGATGCTAAAATCAACCATATCGTTAATGTATGGTTGTAACGATGAATTTTAGTTTATACATTCTTTAAAACCCCAAAACAAACTATTGGCCCACCTTACCTTACACGTCTCAGAGTGAAAACTTCGGTTAATTTCTCGTCATTCAACTATGCTAAAAATTGTTTTTTTTTTTAATGCAAAAAGGTCATCCTACAATCTGTAACAACTGTTGACACTGATGATACACCCAATGTGGAAATGTAAGATTCTAATACAGATTGTCATGAAAAGTATGCAGAATTTACATTATTTCGTGACATGAATAGATTATGTTATGTGGTCGCCAGAAGGGTTTTGAAATAATTTTGTAGATTTTATGTTAGCCTATTTTTCGAACAAAGTTTGTCTCCCCAAATGTGAAAAAACGCAGTAGGCTCTGTCCGCGAACGGTTAGTTTTGTTTTCGCTGGCGCTGATTTTAACTTTTTTCCACATATTTTTTAATTGTACCGCATTAAAAAAAATATGAGTTTTCTCGTGTGGATAAGCGTAAATTAGGATCTATCACGGTTTAAGATGCTTTTTAGTGATATTGTAACTAACGTGAAAGCTCTGGGGCAAGCATTTGTTTCGAGTAGCTGTGGTGTCGCGTTGATCGGTTTTTCTATTAGTTTATTTTATGTGTTTTGCCTCCCTCCCAAGAAGAGTTCTACCGAGTATTTTTTTTTTCTTTTCTTGGTGCTGGTGTTCTGCCTTCCGGATGATGCACGCGAATGAGGTGTTAGGCAAAAGTTCGGTGCAAATGAAAAACTTCGCATGTGATTCAAAATGTTGTGTTCGGTTGTAAAAACAACGCGGAAGAATTTTTAGATTACTGCGAGTGAAGAGGTGCTTTTACGGAGGCAGAATTTGGTGAGATGCATCTGATTATAAATCAATCATAAATGCATATTTCCATATATTACTAAATACGTGTCAGATTTCGAAACTTCACATTTCGAAGTGTGGAAGTGTGTTTGCAGTATCATTATTCATATGATAACGGTAGTGTTTACATGCGGGGCTTATTGTATGTGAAAGTAACCTCTGAATGGACGTGAATTAACAGGCATTCTGAAATGGGTTACTGAATCTGTAGTAGAGCTATCGTTTTCTAACTCCCGGACTAAACTTGCTTTAAATTATTACATCAAGGATTGTTTTAAACAAATTTCTTCCATAATACCACTGCCGGCCAGTGGGGGTTAGATTGAACACACACACAAAGTTTGTTTCCCCAAATGCATTGCGTCTAGAAAATCATCTCGTGAAGGTTTTTTACAAAAATATGCATTCTGAAAAAAAAAACATTGTAAGAACTGCCATTTCATTTGTTGTATGAAACATATGCACAGGATGTGATAAATGTAATTTTTGCGTGTATGAATAGTATTTTTGCAAATAATCCTACCTGGTTGGCTCTGTCCTTTGCCAGGACACGCAGTTGATATAAACCTTTTCTCTCATAATCCAGTGAGCCAACTAACCGAATAATCCCTTTTCCATATGTGGTAGATATGGTGAACACATCGTTATCTCCATCCAGTTCCTCCAAGTAGTAAACCACTTGGCCATATGCTCCTTCGTCGCGGTCGGTTGCTTCAATCGTAGCGATAATCCCCGGTAGGCTATCTTCTGACACTTCCACTGCTGATGTGAATGGCTTGAATATAGGCTCATTATCGTTAACATCTTCCACCAGCAGCAACAAACTTTGGGTAACGGAAAAGTCCCCCAAACGACCATCACTAAGCGTTAAAATTAATGAGTACTCATCTTTTGATTCCCTATCAAGCTCTTTGTTCAAATAGACATTGGCTTCATTTACACCACTACGCTCGACTCTTATCACATCACTATCTATTGATTCTCGCACACCGAATGTGAGTGGATCACCATCGGGATCGTAACCTTTCAATTTGTATATAAGGGTACCGACAGGAGTTTCGGGTCCTTCTTTTAGCCTTAAAACTATTTCTGAATGACCGTCGATCAAAAATCTAGGTGGACGGTTACATGACACTATTGGAATAAGTACTAACGCTATAACCACTGACAAACAATCAAATATCTGCTTTAATCGTACTCTTCGAAATTTATAGAAAGATCCTTTTCGTTTTCTGACCGCAAATTCGTAGAGATCAGGAACGATTGTCGACATTGTAGAATGTACGGCGATGCTGTCCATTGTTGACGGAGGCACATTTTCATCACCACAGAGAATCAGCCTGGATGTTTTACTACTGAGTTAATCTAAGAAAGAAAGAAAGAAAGAAAGAAATAATAACGAATTAGAATGATGCAGTGATAACAATTATGTATGAAGGGGACACCAACGATATGATCACCGCATCAACGAAAAACATGCATTTTATATTTGAAAAAAAGGAAGACTTTGTCAGTTAGCGTTGTTACAATGAATTTGGCATGTTTCGATGATTTATAGTTTTTGGAGCTGAAAATCTTTGTTTGCAATTTAATTTTATTTCGGTGTCATTGGAGAGCCTCCGTGCAATTTACTGCAGCTCAATGTATTTCTCATACTGTTATATGGTAATTCCTGTCATGGTGGTTACTAATAATTACTTCATGAGAAATCAGCTCCAAAAACCAATTATTTCAATTCAAAACTAAAAGCTGTGGATGAAAATGAATAAGTAATATGAGCAAAATTGCATTTGAAACAAAATTTCATGACCAGAGAACTTTGGAACACTTCTAAGAACTTCAGGGCATTTAGCGAAATTTACTAAATAGTATAGTAGTTCTAAGAATAAAGAAGAAGAAGTCGAGAAAACGAAAGAAGGTTACGTGAACTTCGGGTCAGTTCTGAGAACTTCAGGATAGTTTCACGACCATCAGGAGTTTTGGGGAAATTTAAAGATCTTAAAGAGTAAGTTCCTCCACAGATTCCATGACAATTTGCAGAACTTCTGTAAAGAAAGTCTCTATACGGAGCAGATCCATTGACTTTTGCAAAATTGCAGGAACTTTACAGAAGCTGCCAAAACTCCAGGAAAGTTTAATGATCTTTAGGGATGTTACGTTAAATTTAGGGAAATTATAGAACTTCAATATAATTCCATGAATATCGGAAAGAATACGGTAACATCATTCATTCATTTAAGGAAATCAGCGGAAACCTTGAAAAAAATCGAAAATTTCAGACAAGAACTGTTTCATAAATTTATCGGATATTCCATGAACATCTTTAAGAAAACAATGAGAACTTCAGGGAAGCCCTAACAACTTCAGGCAGGAATAGAAAACTTTGGGGCAGTCGTTATAACTTGACAAAAATATGATAAACTTTAAAGAAGTTCCGAGAATTTCTGGGAAGATTCTTGAACAGACTACGGGAACATAAGGATAGCTTCCTGAACTTCTGGAAAGCTGTGGGCTCTTCTTGGAAGCTTCAAAATCTTTACGGCGTTCGATTAGTTTCAGGAAAACTGCAGCAGCTTATTAAAAGCTCTGAGGACTTCTGGGATATTTGGAGAACTTTCAGGAAGTCAAGAAAACTTCAGACATCTCGAGAACTAGAGGAAAATTATTAAACTTAAAAGAAATTCCAATAAGCTCCGGGATACTAAGTTCAGATATCTTCAGGGAAGCTCAGAGATCTTGAAGGCAGTTCTAATAACTTTAGATCTGCAGTAAACTGTAGAGGAGTTCTACAAACTTAGGAAAATGTTTAAATACTTAAGAAATCTCTGATTTTATGTGTCGATCCTGATAGGGGGCGCATGGATGTAAGGTAGGTAGGGGGCGCACATATGAAAAATCAACTACCCAACCAGTGTTCGGAAAATCATTCTCAGATCTCATTCATTGAGCCTCCCTGCGAGAATAAACTCGCGTGCGAATGCGGCAAACAAAATTCACGCTTGAGATTCTCATGAAAATTCACGCACTCACACTCACAACGCAGAAAAATCATTCCAGCTTTAAACTCATAAAAACTACTCAAACTTCAATTTATATCATGCCTATGCATGTTGTGTTGGTTTTCCAACCCCTGATGCACAAACAATAGTAATAACAATGAATAACGCCAAAATATAAAGCAATGAATTATTGAACCTGAAAACTCATCGGTGATTTTTGCGACGTTGAATTTTGCAAGGCAAAACTCATAGGCGCATAAACTCATGCATGAGATTTGAGTTTTTGAGTTTTTCCGAACACTGTACCCAACAAACAATTTGAGCTGGTTAAAAGCTGAATAAGCCACGTTTTAGCTTAAGAAGCAAATTTTGGCCTTAATAAGTTCTTATTCTACAGTTTGTTGGGAAGTAAAATAGTAAAATAACTGTTCATGGACATTATCAACCCCTGATGAGAATATAAGTATCCCCCGATGATGGTGGGTAGTTCAGTCCATGCAAAAATATAACCATGAAATGAGAATGAAATTATCATACATTCTATTGTTGACAATTAACCCAATTAAAAATAAAATGAATTGGTCAAATGATCATAGGATTATTTCATTAGTTTACAAAATACTAGCTGTAGGTTTACTGTGCATTAACGTATTATCGTAAATTGCAACAATAGGAAAGTATTAAAATACATCAATAAGAGTTTCTAATCAATAAATATTTGCTGCAGAGCACCTTGTACAGCCAAATATTCAGCCATTCCATAGCAAAACGATATAGTGGTTCTCAGAATTTTGTAAAAATTTGTAGTTTTGTTCAATATTGCAAAATATTAGACCCGTATTGTTTTTTATTTTGTCATAACGGTGTAGCATAATATTTCAATGCATCTCAAATTCTCTAAGTTTCAGAGCTGTTAGATTTACAGCACCCAAATTTCCATAACATGCAACAGTGTCGAATTTCTCAAAGACAACAAAGACTTTTGTTGTAGCCCACCAAGTTGACACACTTAAGCCAATTGACAAAACAGAGATGTAAAATAGCAACAAGCGACTTGCGCACATGTTGCACTAGAATGTTAACGTTTGATTTAATTGTCACCACATGTTTTCTTTCCACATAGCGTTGAATGAAAACACTATTTCAATTGTTTTCCATTCCTTTTCGGCTACACTCGTCTATGTACTTCCTTGTACGATAGCGAGTGTATTGGTTCATGATGTTTTGTTAACCAGACAAGGTACCTCTTTCAGACTGCTTGAAATGTGTAGAGTTTAAGTTTCGTTAGTTTAAGCTAGAGAAATAAAATTCACTACTAACCGTTACGCAAACCGAAACGGATGCTTTCTCCGAAACAAGTATCACAGCCAAATTATACTTTACATGGCTGACCGTGAAGCGGTAGTTGAAGTGAGTTGGAACGCTAACAGTTTTAATGTGCTAGATAACCAGTAGTTAAAGTGAGTTGGAACACTAAGAGTTAAAGTGAGTTAAACCACTGGTGTTTAAAGTGATTTTGTACAAGTGAAACCAAAATGGGTAGGGTTACTGATGATGGTTGAACCTATTTAGGCCGGTTTCACACGACGTCAACATTCATGTCATATTTTTTTTTATTAATTCAACATATAATTATGAAAAATGCGTGATTAGGGGAAAGATCTACCTTTCTTGTTTCTAATAATAACATAAAAAGTTAAATATTATGAACAAATAATTTTAAAAAACGTTTTTATTCAGCAAAGAATTATGATCTTGGTTGGAACTAAAAAATGATGATGGTTGGACCTATTTTTGCAAATGCTAGTTTAGCCCATATTTGTTCAAAAACTTTGTTTGGAGCTTATTAGTATCATGAAAAAAACCCTTTTTATACAGTTTTTATGAATTTGCTATTCAAAAAAATCAATAAATTTGAGTTCAACTTCGTTTAAAAAAAAAAGTTCACTTTCCACGCATTAGCTATTCATCATGGCTCATTTTCTCAGAAATCATTGACCCGATTTGGAAAATTTTTAACGTCAAACTATAGGTATTGTGGTCCCATTGAAAGCTATCGAATGTTTTTGGAATCATTCAACTGGTTCTGGAGATATGGCCGGAACATGTTCCAGAGTATATGGAACATGGACCTAACTTTGACATGGTAGGAATAAAACCTATCATGCGACACTTCACATTACTTCCAAATTTGATAAGAAAATCAATAACAAAATTGAGTGCCTTGGTCCACATTGGCTACTTCCGGGCATGTTCTGGGTGCCCCGGGGAATATAAGGGGCTTAAAATGACAGAATATCAGGAAGGAAATAAGCTTCAGTTAGCAATTTTTAGTTTGTTAACATTTTATTTCAAATTAATTCACACACAGAAGGTGTATGAGAAGTGCTTAATGTAAATTCTTATTAACAGATTCTTTCGGCGCTTTCGTGGTAGTTTGGAAATCGGTAGTTACCCTTTCAGCCAACCTGACGATGGAATTCCTCCTTTAAATTTACGCCCAACTAGTGACGCAAGGTCTTTAGCAGCTTCCAAGATTTTTTTGGTCGTCTTTGGACTGCCAGAAGCAGCGCACATTCAAACCCAATCCCCTAGCTGGCTCTCTAAATCAACACTCAACACTATTTCCCTTCCATATTTCTTGCCGTGGCTTCCCTTAATTTTTGCATGAAGTGTCGTTTTCGGAATATTGTACCTTTTCTTTGCCTGATACGCGGTAAGTGATTTATTTCTTACTAAAAGAACAGCCTCTTGAAGATTTTCGACCGTACAACTCTTTTCTTTAGCCATTTTTTCAATCGAAGAAACTGATCACTCGGCCAAAACGAAATCGAATTTCAAATCAGCTGCGCATGAAGGATGTAGACAAACCGAAGCGCACCTAGCGGCCGTCTTAGGAAACACATAGGTCCAACCATCATCATGCGTAGGTCCAACCATGATCATATTTATCTTTTCGAATTTCGTCAATTATTCAAACATTTTAGTGAAACCAATGGATAAATGGCGTACACCTTAATACACCTTAATAAATATAAAAAATATTCCTTTTTTGTATGTTTGAAAGTAAGGCATGATGACGAGCTAATGCGTGGATAGTTAACAGTTTTGAAAACACATTGAAACTCAATTGTTTTGAAGAAGAAGAAGAAAAAGAGTGTTTTTTATGATAGTAAAGCGATCTTTGAAAAAAAAAATTGCGAAGATTGACTAAACTAGCGATTGAAAAAATAGGTCCAACCATCATCAGTTTTTGGATAGGTCCAAACAGAATCAATTACCCTACTGAGGAAAGTAAGGAACAATCCCCCAAGACCATGGGTGATCAAACAGTGACAATTGTGGAGAACCAGGAGGTTCACACCG